GGCTGAAATAGGTTTCTTTAACTATTCATACGATTCAGTTCTCCATACACACTATGTATGGGAAAAAAAGGTGAAAAAAAAGGGAAAAACGAGCCTGCTCTGATACCAAGAAGAAAAACAGCCTTTTGAGAAGAAATGACTGTTTAGAAAGTTGCAAAAATTCAAAAGAAAGTAGCAGAAATTAGAGTTCAAGAGGAGAGAAGAAGAAGATGAAGGTGGCGGCAACTTGGGTTCAGAGAGAGAGATTTTCGAACATGATCTCTTCTCTTACTCCCTTAATCCTATTTCATTAAGTTAAACTTTAGTAATTTACAGAGAAGCCCCTAGTTGGGCAGAGAATTAAAAAGACATAACATAAGAAAGAATAAAGCCCAGATTAAGGCCCATTACAGCAAAGAACATAAAAGATAAAAAAAGGATAAATAGCCTATGGGCCATTCGGACCATCTTCTCTACAACCTCTTGTCATTTTTCAGTTCTAGTTAATGGAGGGGTTGAGGATTTTTTCCCAGCATGTAGAGGGCTCAAGCAAGGAGACCTTTTTTCACCTTTCTTGTTTACACTTGTGGTAGATGTGCTTAGTAGAATGATTTCTAAAGCAGACAGGGAAGGGCTATAAGTGGGTGGAGGATAGGTATGAATAATGTCCCGGTGACTCATCTTCAGTTTTCTGATGATATTATCATTTTTTGTGAAGGGGGAGACTTGGGGACAGTGAGAAACCTAAAAGATCTTACTAAATCCTTTGAGTTTGCTTCAAATTTGAGAGTTAACTTTGACAAAAGTTGTGTGGTTGGAATCAATTTGGAAGGTTGGGAGGCAGAGGCTATAGCAAGTTGTCTCGAGTGTTCTATGTCTGATTGGCCTTTATTCTACTTGGGTCTTCCTTTAGGATCTAACCCAAAAGAAAGTCGGTTTTGGTATCCAATTGTGGAAAAGTTCAAAAAGAGGTTGGCTTCTTGGAAGAAAAGTTACATTTCGATAGGGGGTAGAGTGACCTTGATTAGAACGACTCTTGCTAGTCTTCTGGTTTATTTTCTCTCGGTGTTCAGGATACCCTCAAGGGAAGCTAAGAAGCTAGAAAAGGTGATGGGGAACTTCTTGTGAGAGCTAGGGGAAGAGAAGAAGGATCATCTGATTAGGTGGGAGATAGTCAACAGAAGTAAGGAAGAAGGGGGATTAGGATTAGGTAACCCAGTTCTTAAGAATGAAGCTCTACTAGGGAAGTGGCTTTGGAGATGGCCATTGGAGAGAGAGAGGTTGTGGCACAAGGTGGTGAATAGTATTCATGGCTGTTCGCAGAACGGTTGGGATGCTGGGGTATCTTGATGGGCGACTCTTGCAACACCCTGGAAGGCTATACACAGAATCCTTCCCCATTTTCTCAATCTGGTCAAGTATGATGTTAATTCTGGAAACAATGTTCTTTTTTGGGAAGACATTTAGGTAGGCAACCAACCTCTTAAAGACCTTTTTACCTCTCTTTATTTTCTTTCCCTTTATAAGAAAGAGCCGGTTTCTAATTTTATTTCCTCCCCAGCTTCTTCTTTGGCCTTAAACTGGGATTTTGGGTTCCGAAGAGGGTTACGTGATGATGAAAGTGCTAGTGTTTCAGAACTGTTGTCTTCACTTGAGTCTATTTGCTTAGATCCCCTCAAACTTGACACAAGAATTTGGACCCCTAACCCGAAATGCTTTTTCACTTGCTCTTCTTTCTTCAAATCCCTCTGCTCCACTTCTACACCCCAGAACTTCCTAGTTAAAGAATTCTGGGTTAGACCCATTCCCCCAAAGATTGCTGTTTTTTGTTGGGAAGTTTTTTATGGTAAGATTAATACCTTGGAAAACCTGCAAAAGAGACCAAAATGGTGCTTATCCCCTAATTGGTGTGTTCTTTGTAAAACTCAGAATGAGGACTGTCGCCACTTACTGATCTCTTGCTCCTTTGCTGCAGTTTTATGGAATCGGATTTTTATGTTGTTTGAGTGTAGGTGGAACCTGCCATCTGATACTAGCTTGCTGTTTAGTCCGTCTACCTTTGTATGGCATACAAAGAGAGGGAGAATTATGTGGAAGTGCATAAGAGCAGCTTTGTTGTGGACTGTTTGGGAAGAAAGGAACACCAGAATTTTTTGTGAAAAAGAAAGGAGTTTCTCGGAAGTTAAAGAATGTATTTTGACAAGGGCAATTCAGTGGCTGAAAACTCTAAGTCTCTTTGATGCATACTCTTTCGATGACCTATGGAGAAACTGGTTAGCAGTGGCTAACACTTCTACTAGGAAGGACAGATATGTGGTTGAATGGATGCCACCTGGGGAGGAGTTTATAAAGCTGAACTTTGATGGGAGTAGCCAAGGTAACCCTAGACCTTCAAGTATAGGAGGAGTGCTGAGAAACAACGACAATAGTATTATATCTTTGTATTCAGGTCCTGCGGGTGTGGGAGACTCTATTAGGGCCGAATTACTTGCTGCTGTGCAAAGAATCCAGCTCGCAAACCAGCTAGGAATAGAGCATCTGATTATTGAAGGGGACTCCCAGGTGATAGTGGGTTGGTTGCAGGATCCGAACTCCGTGATCTGGGGCTATAGAGATCTTCTCAAAATGGTTAAATGGCTAACAAGGAATATGACAACCAGAGTTCAGTTGGTAGGCAGATCAGCAAACTCAATGGCTGATTCACTTGCAAAACAGGGGGTTTCTCGAGCTACTTTATTTTGGGCTTCTGTGTAATTTCTTTTGAACTTATGATTCTGTAACTAGTTTTAAAGGAAAGGTTGCACCTCGTGCGTTTCCATGGGTTGCCTGTAACTCATATTTGCTGGTTTAATAAAATCTTATTCATAAAAAAAACATAAAAATAGATGAATTTACATCTTTGCCCCAAGTAAGATGACTGCACATATAATAATCAAATAAAAAAAATACAAAATAGGCCCGACCTACTAAGGCCGAATAACTAATAACAAATAAAAGATGAAACATAGAACTAAGCAGAAAACTCCCCTTCTTTTCTACAAACATATATTGCTGGGAGAGAAAAGGTTCTTTTATGAACAATTAAAAATTGAATTTTGAAGTTTATTGTCAACTTCAGATATGTTCAACTTGGATGGTCTAATCTTATGACCAAGCTGTTTCTTTTTCCCTTTATCTTCATTCTTCATTCCTCTTGTTTTTCTCTTTTTCTTAGAAACTGTTAGTTTGTCCTTTTGCAGTATAGTGGTCCATCAAGAGATGCTTTGGCATATATTGATTGGCTGAAAGAAGATAAAAGGTTCTCTGATATCTTGGTTCAGATTTCTCCTGCTTTAAATGGGCATGCTTTTCCACGGCTGAAACTGCGGTATAAACCTTCACTAGTACAGGCAAGCTATGTTTATGTGCAGGTTCTATGTGCATTTTCTTTCTGATTAGTGCTGTATAGCTCTTATTTTCCACTTTCCTTTTTCTTGTGTTTTGTGGCAATTTCGCTCCCAAAGTGCATTAATTGAAAAATAAAAGTGTTGTTTTCAGATTAGTCCAACTCTTTTAATTTGTACCCAAGCTTTCCCATGTTGCTTGTTTGTCTAGTGGTCATCCTTTTTTTTTTCTTTTCTTTATTTTGCCATTGTTATTTCAAGATTACATGGCCTTATTTTTCTTTTCCACCTTTTGGATGGATGCTTCTTACACTCTACTCTGAAGAAATATGTACTTATTTGTGTTTTGTTCTTTTGCAGTTAGAAGGAGGCATTTCTCACCTTCCTTTGCTTGATCCTTCAATGAGAGCAATCCCAATAGCACCATCTGAGTGGAGGGAAAAACTGCAAAATAGAAAAAAACATGGAGCATCAAATTCAGAACTTACTAGGAAGTTTATTTTGTTGGATGTGAGAAATGGTAAGTAGCTTCTTTTATCTTCACTTCTGTTCAAGAAAAGCATGTTTTCAAGCTTCTTTTAGACTAATTACTAGATTAAAGAGATATTCTTTTTGATAATGAACAGAAAATTTCATTTAAAGAGAAAAAAGATTATAGACGTGTGGGGAGATTCTTTTTTTTTTTTTGATTGGTAACAATTTTCTTGTGTGTGCGTGTTTGTGAGGAGATTTCACTATATGTAAAAGTATTATTCTGATAAAATTTTACTTATAAAGATAACCCCTGATTCAATTTAGTTATTCCCACTGCAAAACCCAAAGTTAACCACAAATCGGAATCAAACATCTTCTCCTTTCACCAATGTTAAATGGGACATGAGAGTCAAAATCCAATGTGTGTCCAAGAAATTTGACTTGGCAAGATGAGAAAATATTGGTTCGTGAACATGTGATGCAGAACCTGTTAGAAGAGAATGAAGAAGAGGAAGAGGAGAAGACAAGTTGAGGAAGAAGCCTAAAATTAAAAGCTACAACCAAGCCCTTGGTAAATATAAAAATATCAAATAACCCCCTAAGAAAAGAAAGTTTACAAATGAACCCGAATTCTACACTAATCAAAATAAACCCTAAACTAATGCCATCTATGCCCAAGGTAAGTACGTAACACGCATGGCACGCCAGTCTATGATTTCTATGAATTCTCCCTGATAGAAGAGAACTCTCCTTAGAAGAAGTAATAGAACAATACTGCTCCAAAAGATCTGAATCTCCGCATCGAAGTTCTTCTAAAATCCGAGTATCATCGATGTAAGGACCTTTCCATTTGACAAGGTAACGCTGATAACCACCTAGTTTGGAGGTGACAATCTAATCTTAGAGAATTCTCTTGATCTGATTGTTACGTGAAGACTGAACTCGAGGCAAAATGGGTATGCATACTGAAGGGGAAGTACTAGCTGTGGCTACACTTGCAGATAAAGTAGGAGGCTTGAAGGTGCCTTGATAAGGAAACAAATCCTCCACATTTAAAGTTGAACTGATTCCCATGTTTGGAGGTAAGTTAAGTTCATATGCATTAAGTCCTACTTTTTGGATGATGTGAAATGGGCCATTGGCTTAGGCGTATACCTTTTTGAAGGAGTGCTTTGGATAACGCTTAGGATGCACACGAACTGTGACATAATTCCCTCTTGAATTCTTGATTTCTTTGATGTGCATTTGCAACAAGTCTATAGTTTTCATTACTTAAAGCAATTTTTATTTTTTTGTCTTGTACTAGCATGCAAATCATGGATATATTGGACAAAAAGAATCAGTAGAATTTAAAGTATGGGCATTTGGAGGTAAGGGAACAAGGTTAATAGGTATACAAGGAGTAAAGCCTTGGACAATCTCAAAAAGTGTTTTGCTGGTTGACCTCGATTGAATAATTATAAGCAAACTTTTCAATGGGCATCACTGAGTGCCAATTGCCTAAGTGCTCACCTACTAAACATTTAAGCAAATCTCTATCGATTTGTGGGTGAAAGCAGCTGAGAATTTCCACTTAGTACCTGATAGTTGCCACAATGTTTTTAAAAAATAACTAACAAACCTGACATCTTTGCCAAACACAATTGTAGGCAAACCATGGAGCCTGCAATCTCCCAAAAAACAGCTTAGCCAAATTTGAAGCTTCACTGGTTTTATGGCATGGGAGGAAATGGGCTATTTTAGAAAACCTATCCATGACTACAAGGTGGAATCATGTCCTCTAGCTATCCTAGGCAATCTATTGAGAATATGTATTGTGTGCAGGGGCATTATTGTCTTTCTTTCATATTTTTATTTGGGTACCCATTTAAGGGCATGAATGTAATTGTTCTTCTTCTCTTCTTCTTCTTCTTCTTCTGATGATGATGATGATCAGGAAGGGATCTTGTAAGAGTATTCTTTGTTAACTCTTGATTCCCAAACCTAGGAAGACGTGCTGACATCAGACTGTCACTAGATGACATCAGCATTCTGTACAAGTACCGAGGACAACTATTGAAATTGGTTCAGTTTGATGTGCCTTGATTTTAGGGATTTTTTGGTATGGTTCTCATCTTCATTTGATGCTCCTATAATTTTTCCTAGATTTTACAATTTACAAGAAGATAATGGTTCAATGTTTGAACCATTGTAAATCATGATCCCATTCTGATTGTAAAATCTAGGAACTACAGATTGTTGGATTCTTCTAGGGTTCGCCTATGGAAGTACAGATTGTTTCCGGAATGTTCTTGGGCAATGTTGATGTCTTTAGTGGTATAATAACCATTGTAAACCTTGATGGAATCAACCTTCTAGAGTGGTCTCAATTAGCCAAGCTTATTATCGCCTATGGAAGTGCAGATTGTACTTTGCCTATGGAAGTACCGATTGTTTCTGAAATGCTCCTGGGTACATCCCATTTTTGAAAAGCATCTATGACTTTTCCTTGAAGAAAAGGGGGCAATTCATCAGAGCTCATGTTCCCATACTTGCGGTGGAATGGTGTAGCAAAGAGAAAAAAATTTGATATGTTGTTAAAGTTGCCAGGGGACTATTATTATAGATGTATGTGCCAACCCGCTTTTGGGGAGATGCAATTGAAGCAACCGTGTATCTCATTACAGACTTCCTTCACGAACCCTTTGCCTTCAATTTCCTCACCAACTTCTTTTCCCTAATGATCCCATCTTCTGTTTTCCTCTTAGAGTCTTTGGTTGTAGCTACTTTGTTCATGACATGAGTCCTTGTCTCAAACTTGATCCTAAATCTATCAAGTGCTTTGATCCCCACTCTAGCAGATGGTTTGTATCTAAGAATGCTACATTCTTTGAGTTTACTTTGTATTTTCAGCCCACTCGTCCTTCTCTTTAGGAGGAGTGCCAATGAAGATTGGACTCCTTTTTGTTTCCTATTCTTGCCTCTATGAAACATTCCTGGTCCATCTTCCTCCCTTCCCACTTGTAGTAACAATATTCCTGTTCTTCCTCCTCCCCTTGTTCCTTAGCAGCGGTCCTGGCGGCAGTGGTTCATAAGGCTCAAAAGGAAGGTTACTGTTGAGGCTGAATGTCCACAACAATCTAATGACCTACCTCCAGGTAATTCTGTATGCAACTCTGAACTTCCTATTCCTACTGTTATTGAGCATGATATTTGGCAATCTGACCTTGACCTTCCCATTGCAGTTCAAATAGGAAAAAGAAAACGCACTACCTACTCCATCACTATGTTTCTTATGATGCCCTTTCACCTTCCTATTATGCCTATATTTCTGCTACCTCCTTTGTTTCTATTCCTCATAATGTTTCAGATGCAATGTAGTTCCCTTGGTGAAAGAATGCTATGAACCAAGAGATGGAGGCCCTCATAAAGAATCAAACCTAGGAAATTGTTCCTCTTCTTGAGGGTAAAGTACTAGTGGCTTGCAATTACATCAAGTTTGATGAAAGACCAACATTTGTTAAAGATTGGGAAAAATGAGCAATAGAAATGACCAACATTTGCCAAGCTGCTTGCACATACGAGGCAGGAAATGAAAGAGTGATAGCTCATCCAAAAGTTCTATTGTCATGGAAGTTGATAAGGCACTGGAAGAAGTAAAATGAGCAATAGGATATTTGATAACTAACTTGAGATGGTGATTTGGAGAAAGGAAGTGAAGATTGAAGCCAAAAGTTTCTGTTTCGAAAAAGGTAGATATGAAGGTAAGGAAAGGTTAAAGATCAGAGAAAACAGAGCCACCATATTTGTGGTTGAGGAAGTGATTATATGGCTGAAGGGTTTCATGGATGGGACGATTCTCTCTGTTAAAAAATTGGGCTGGAAGAGTGAAGTAACTACAACTGGGAAGAGTTTTGAAGTTGAGATGAGAAGAAACACGAAGGGTTGGTTCGTGGCGATTGTGGAAAGTGGTGGTGATAATAGAAAACACATGTGTGTGCCAGAGGGTAGAGAGAGAGGGTGGGATGGAGAATGTTTACAGAGACCTCGCAGGAGTTTCTATTGATTGTAGATAGAAGACAAAGCTCAAATCTTCGTGGTGGTTCAGAAATCCATGTTAAGCAGAGTTATAGAGATAAATCGAAGGAAGAAGAACAAAGTTTGAAAGGACCTCAAGCCATAGTTTGCAGTGACTCTAGAAGTTGAAGATTGCTCTTAGACGTAGCGGAAGGAGAATGGGAGAAGAATTTGATTCTGACTTCATCCAAAAGAGTCCAAGATTGGGAGAATATCGTAGGAGCGGTTGTGAAGAGATTTATATAACAGCTACTGCTAAAGTTAGACCTTTCGATGACTCAAAGGCTGTGTTATATGGAGCTTGCGAAGTAGTGATCCCAAGCGTTGAGACGGTGGAAGCTCTAGATGGAAGAGTAAGGGTCATGAACTGGTTTGTGTCTTGTAATCAGAATAACATATTAGAAAGTCCTCTCGAGCTTTAGTTAGTAGGGCTTCCCTTCAACTATTGGAATGAGGAATCTCTGGTAAAATTGATTCAAGTCTTGCGTGGACTGTTAACAACCTTTAATCTCCAAGATCTTCATGTAGCAAGTAAGGGTCAAGGGTCTGAAGTCCGAAAAAGTTTCCAGATGCGTAGAGATGCTCATCTATGGTTGCTGGCTTAAGGTTTGGGTTCTGTTGGATGGTGAAACATCTCTATGGATGAAAAGTTCTAAGGAAGAAGATGTTGACATCTTTGAAGGCTGGGTTACACGTGGAAAAAAAAGAGATCGAGCCAAAAGGCATTGGCTAATGTCCAGGCGTCTAACAAGGATGAAGAGACTCCACGCAAGTTTGCTGGCAAGTCTCTGGATAAGGATGATATTAGCTCAAATTTTTTGGAAATTGGATATCAAAGAGTAGGCAAAAAGTCATACACGGAGATCATTAAAAGGGCGGAGCCACATTAGCTAACCTCTTGGGTTCACAAGGCTTTTTAAACCAGAGAGGATCCGAACTGGGTCATTTTTTTGAGGGTGAACCGGAGTTGCTTCTTGGACGAGGTAGTGG